GGGTGTGTGAGTAGGCTGAGGAGAGTGTGGTACCCTGAGGGGGGTGTGAATAGGCTGAGGAGAGTGTGGTACCCTGAGGGGGGTCTGAGTAGGCTGAGGAGAGTGTGGTACCCTGAAAGGGGTGTGAGTAGGCTGAGGAGAGTGTGGTACCCTGAGGGGAGTGTGAGTAGGCTGAGGAGAGTGTGGTACCCTGAGGGGGGTGTGAGTAGGCTGAGGAGAGTGCGGTACCCTGAGGGGCGTGTGAGTAGGCTGAGGAGAGCGTGGTACCCTGAGGGGAGTGTGAGTAGGCTGAGGAGAGTGCGGTACTCTGAGGGGGTGTGAGTAGGCTGAGGAGAGTGCGGTACCCTGAGGGGGTGTGAGTAGGCTAAGGAGAGTGCGGTACCCTGAGGGGGGTCTGAGTAGGCTGAGGAGAGTGTGGTACCCTGAGGGGGGTGTGAGTAGGCTGAGGAGAGTGCGGTACCCTGAGGGGGTGTGAGTAGGCTGAGGAGAGTGTGGTACCCTGAGGGGGGTCTGAGTAGGCTGAGGAGAGTGTGGTACCCTGAAAGGGGTGTGAGTAGGCTGAGGAGAGTGTGGTACCCTGAGGGGAGTGTGAGTAGGCTGAGGAGAGTGTGGTACCCTGAGGGGGGTGTGAGTAGGCTGAGGAGAGTGCGGTACCCTGAGGGGGGTGTGAGTAGGCTGAGGAGAGCGTGGTACCCTGAGGGGAGTGTGAGTAGGCTGAGGAGAGTGCGGTACTCTGAGGGGGTGTGAGTAGGCTGAGGAGAGTGCGGTACCCTGAGGGGGTGTGTAGTAGGACTAAGGAGAGTGCGGTACCTGAGGGGGTCTGAGTAGGCTGAGGAGAGTGTGGTACCCTGAGAGGGGTGTGAGTAGGCTGAGGAGAGTGCGGTACCCTGAGGGGGTGTGAGTAGGCTGAGGAGAGTGTGGTACCCTGAGGGGGGTGTGAGTAGGCTGAGGAGAGTGCGGTACCCTGAGGGGGGTGTGAGTAGGCTGAGGAGATTGTGGTACCCTGAGGGGGGTGTGAGTAGGCTGATGAGAGTGTGGTACCCTGAGAGGGGTGTGAGTAGGCTGAGGAGAGTGTGGTACCCTGAGGGGGGTGTGAGTAGGCTGAGAAGAGTGCGGTACCCTGAGGGGGGTGTGAGTAGGCTGAGGAGAGTGCGGTACCCTGAGGGAGTGTGAGTAGGCTGAGGAGAGTGTGGTACCCTGAGGGGGTTGTGAGTAGGCTGAGGAGAGTGTGGTACCCTGAGGAGGGTGTGAGTAGGCTGAGGAGAGTGCGGTACCCTGAGGGGGTATGAGTAGGCTGAGGAGAGTGCGGTACCCTGAGGGGTGTGTGAGTAGGCTGAGGAGAGTGTGGTACCCTGAGTGGGGTGTGAGTAGGCTGAGGAGAGTGCGGTACCCTTACTGAGGGGGGTGTGAGAAGGCTGAGGAGAGTGCGGTACCCTGAGGAGGGTGTGAGTAGGCTGAGGAGAGTGTGGTGCCCTGAGGAGGGTGTGAGTAGGCTGAGGAGAGTGTGATACCCTGAGGGGGTGTGAGTAGGCTGAGGAGAGTGTGGTACCCTGAAGGGGGTGTGAGTAGGCTTAGGAGAGTGTAGTACATTGAGGAGGGTGTGAGTAGGCTGAGGAGAGTGCGGTACCCAGAGGGGCTGCGAGTAGGCTGAGAAGGATATGAGTAGGCTGAGTGAATAAACTAAGGAAGGTGTAAGTAGGCTGAGGGAGTGAATATGCTAAGGAGAGCATGAGTAGGCTGAGTAGGAGGGTGTGAGTAGGTTGAAGAGGAGGGTGTGAGTAGGTTGAGGAGGAGGGTGTGAGTAGGTTGAGAAGGAGGGTGTGAGTAGGTTGAGAAGGAGGGTGTGAGTGGTTGAGAAGGAGGGTGTGAGTAGGTTGAGAAGGAGGGCGTGAGTAGGTTGAGAAGGAGGGTGTGAGTAAATTGAGGAGGAGGGTGTGAGTAGGTTGAGAAGAGGGTGCGAGTAGGTTGAGGAGGAGGGTGTGAGTAGGTTGAGGAGAAGGGTGTGAGTAGGTTGAGAAGGAGGGTGTGAGTAGGCTGAGGAGGGTGTGAGTAGGTTGAGAAGTAGTGTGTGAGTAGGTTGAGAAGGAGGGTGTGAGTAAGTTGAGAAGGAGGGTGTGAGTAGGTTGATGAGGAGGGTGTGAGTAGGTTGAGAAGGAGGGTGTGAGGTAGGTTGAGAAGGAGGGTGTGAGTAGGTTGATAAGGAGGGTGTGAGTAGGTTGAGAAAGAGGGTGTGAGTAGGTTGAGAAGGAGGGTGTGAGTAGGTTGAGAAGGAGGGTGTGAGTAGGTTGAGAAGGGAGGTGTGAGTAGGTTGAGAAGGAGGGTGTGAGTAGGTTGAGGAGTGTGAGTAGGTTGATGAGGAGGGTGTGAGTAGGTTGAGAAGGAGGATGTAGTAGGTTGAGAAGGAGGGTGTGAGTAGGTTGATGAGGATGGTGTGAGTAGGTTGAGAAGGAGGGTGTGAGTATGTTGAGAAGGAGTGTGTGAGTAGGTTGATGAGGAGGGTGTGAGTAGGTTGAGAAGGAGGGTGTGAGTAGGCTGAGAAGGAGGATGTGAGTAGGTTGAGAAGGAGGGTGTGAGTAGGTTGAGAAGGAGGGTGTGAGTAGGTTGAGAAGGAGGATGTGAGCAGGTTGAGAAGGAGGGTATGAGTAGGTTGAGAAGGAGGATGTGAGTAGGTTGAGGAGGAGGATGTGAGTAGGTTAAGAAGGAGGATGTGAGTAGGTTGAGAAGGAGGGTGTTAGTAGGTTCAGAAGGAGGGTGTGAGTAGGTTGAGAAGTAGAGTGTGAGTAGGTTGAGAAGGAGGGCGTGAGTAGGTTGAGGAGGAGGATGTGAGAAGGTTAAGAAGGAGGATGTGAGTAGGTTGAGAAGGAGAGTGTGAGTAGGTTGAGAAGTAGAGTGTGAGTAGGTTGAGAAGGAGGGTGTGAGTAGGTTGAGGAAGAGGATGTGAGTAGGTTAAGAAGGAGGATGTGAGTAGGTTGAGAAGGAGGATGTGAATAGGTTGAGAAGGAGGGTGTGAGTAGGTTGAGAAGGAGGGTGTGAGTAGGTTGAGAAGTAGAGTGTGAGTAGGTTGAGAAGGAGGGTGTGAGTAGGTTGAGGAGGGTGTGAGTAGGTGAGAAGTAGAGTGTGAGTAGGTTGAGAAGGGAGGGTGTGAGTAGGTTGAGGAGGGTGTGAGTAGGTTAAGAAGTAGAGTGTGAGTAGGTTGAGAAGGAGGGTGTGAGTAGGTTGAGAAGTAGAGTGTGAGTAGGTTGAGAAGGAGGATGTGAGTAGGTTGAGGAGGGTGTGAGTAGGTTAAGAAGTAGAGTGTGAGTAGGTTGAGAAGGAGGGTGTGAGTAGGTTGAGAAGTAGAGTGTGAGTAGGTTGAGAAGGAGGGTGTGAGTAGGTTGAGGAGGGTGTGAGTAGGTTAAGAAGTAGAGTGTGAGTAGGTTGAGAAGGGTGTGAGAAGGCTGAGAAGGCCATGAATAGGTGGATAAATAGGTTTTCGGTTATAAATACCAGTAAATGGTAAGAAACAAATACAAACATACAAGGAACTTACAAACATACAAGGAACGTACAATGAACGTACAAACTTACAGGGAATGTACAAGGACCTACAAACATACAAGAAACGCATAACCCTGCTGTGAGTGTATAAATATACAGAGAACGTACAACCATACAAGGAATGTACAAACATACAAGCAACGTACAATTATACAAGCAACGTACAAACAAGCAAGGTACAAACATACAATGTACAAACATACAAGCAACGTACACACATACAAGCAACGTACAAATACAGAAGCAACGTACATACAAGCAAGGTACATACAAACAACGTACAAACATACGAGGAACATACATACAATGATCGCTACATAGGTTCGTCGGTCTGGTGACTAGCGAGGTTTAATACGAAAATAACCCAGCGTGTGCTAATTACTTGCTAGTAATGAAAGCTTAAATAAATTAAGGAGAATTACAATTTTATCTACGAATAATGTTACACGATGGATATTATCTGACTGAAAACTGCAGTTGTTAGATTAATTATTATTATTATTATTATTATTATTATTATTATTATTATTATTTTTATTTATTGTTATTAACTCTTAGAAGTTATACAACTCCTATTTTTTTCAAGGCCACCAGAAAGGAGATCAAGAGCCCTTCAACAACATCATGACATTCCCTTGAAGAGTAAAAGGGTGTGAAAACATGCACTTAATGTCAACAGCAGACTTTAATAGGTAACGTTTGTGACGTCGATTGTAAGGATGGGTTACGTTACTTTGATTCCAGTCATGGAAGATTTCTATATGCAACTCCTCGTAAAAGATGAATATTTATGTGTTTGGCACTTGAGGTAAGACAGTGCTTGGTAGCATTGAAGTCGCCTCGCCTCGTGCCAGGTGGAGGGCCGAGAGGCCTGCCACACTACCAGTGCCACTATTGATTACGGTAGGAAGTGTGATCTTGCTTCTTATTCTCTTGTGCTTGGATTCACAAGACTTATTACCATGCAACACTACCAACACTTCGCACTGTATTCTTGGTATATAGTCCTTGACACGTCAGTTGCAGCATCGACGTGTTGTTAAAAGAAAAGGAAATATAAACTAGGAAACTAGAAATATTGAATGTGATATGACTTGACAAAGTAGCATAGAGCGACAGTAGACCCTGGCAGCGAGAGTGCAGATGCTCCCTCTAACCCGCACTAACGAGACGAGCTGATTGATCAGTACCGGAATTCTACTTACATAATAAAAGATAACTTAACTCTAAATAATCACCATCAGTTAGGAACACCTACGACAGACTTTAAGAATTTCTCGAGTGAGCTTATTTGTGGTTCTCTTGAAAGAAGATAAATGGCAGTTTTTTTTTTCCCCTGGGATGACATACAATGATGATCTCGTCCGCACGTGACGACAGCATAATCAACGAGAATGTTATTGGAATTTAAAGATTGTAATTTATACACATTAAAATGTATTTGACCTGAATGTTTTACTTACCGTGCATAGAGTTACGATATTCTTCTGTATGCGCCTCTTCTCACTCTACGAGATACAGTAATCTTCTTAGAGGTGACAGTGACTCTCGTCGTGTTAGGTGTTACCATGAAATACTGTCAGGCGGCCGCACAGCACCTGTCACCGGCCACCCTCGATACCTTGATTACTTAGCACCCAGCACGACTCACGAATGCAGCTGTTATTAAGCAGTTTGTATTGTAAATAAGGCGATGTCCCCGAATATCAGAGTTCGTAAGCCTTACCAAGTGTGTGTTTTCTACCTGCTCTCAGGTAATTATGTCCCACGATACATTTGATCATGATACATATAATATAAACAAGAATGAGAACAGTATTGCTAATATTACCTTCAATTCTATAGTCTCTTATTATGTCCCGTATGGAACCGGAACTTTAATTCCCGCAAGTATTGTGAAAAGTTACTGGAGCGGGATTGCTGTTATCTTGTGCTCTATCTCCCGTCATCACAAAATAATGCATTAAAACATTATACAATCCAAATACAATAAGTGATGCAACAGACAGCCCACTGCATAATTAAAACAGTCTTACCCTCTCTTTGACAAATATTTTGAGCGTAACAGGTTTTTAGTCCAAAACTTTTCCATATAATCTTAATAAAAATTAATGGAATCTACGGTCCAATCTTTTAGCTTATGTTCCATTGTGGAAAACTAAGTGTGTTCTTCAATGTGCTTTGACCAAGATTCAACCTGGAGAGGTTATAGCATAGCTAATACGACTGGAGCTCCAGAGCAGGTTCTCCAGACGAACGTAAGACAGCGAGAGCGACGAATGTGTGTATGTCCTCACCGTAGTTAAGCAGGCGACTGACTGCATCAGCGCTCCGCCTACCACCGGTTCACACGCTCATACTAGGCCCGCCCATCCCTGTTGCCTTAGTTTGCTATTGCAACGTTCACTGTGCTTTTCACTCGGCTTCAGAAACGCGGAATATCTGCTCTAAACTAGAGCAACATCTTTCGTGTCTAGTATAGCTTAGAGATTAGCTGAGGATGACTACTGAAAGTCAAAAATGAAGCGGCAGCAAGGAAGGTTTTCACGAAACATGTGATTTACAATGTGTGCCCCGCCTCCTGCACCTCCTCCTGCTCACTTCTGATGCGCCTTCTGCTGCAGCTCCTCCTTCCTTCCTGATGTATTTGCCCCACCTGTGGGCAGCCTCTCCCCCTCTCCATTCTTTCCCTGTGGTGCCCCGCATCTCTTTCTCTGGCCTGTGTTTTTCCTGTTGTTAGTTAATTAGCAATAAATTCCTTGCCATTATGCCTGCTGCCGTAGCGGTAAGTCTCCGAGACAGCAGGTTCAGGCGCGGTACACGACAGTAATGGTGGCCGGGCTGCTGTTGTGGCTGATATACCTGATGCTAAGCTAAATTTGTGGGAGTTAGTGAGTGCCCCAAAAGGGGTAGAGGTAGTGACCTCTGACCCCAGCCCAGGAGAATCACCCTAAAGTCTGGCCACACACACAGCCACCTCCGAATTTGGCCACACGCAGACACCTCCGACCCTGGCCACACACACAGCCACCTCCGAACCTGGTCACACACACACACACACTCCCCTCCAAACCTGGCCACACGCTGACCCTGACCACACATAGGCATCTCCGACCCTCACCACACAGAGACACTTCTAACCCCGGCCACACAGTCACCCTCAACTCTGGCCTCACAGAGACACCACACATGCACACACATGCACACACACATGCACTCCAACCTTGGCCACACAGCCACCTCCGACCCTGGCCACATAGCCACCTCCGACCCTAGCGACATACAGCCACCTCCGACCCTGACCCCACACAGCCACCTCCGACTCTAGCTACACACAGCCACCTCCGACCCTGACCACACAGCCTCCTCCGACCCTGGCCATACACAAGTACCTCCGACCCTTGAAACACACAGCCACCTCCGACCCTAGCCACACACAGCCACTTGCAACCCTAGCCACACAGCCTCCACCGACTCTGGCCACACAGCCTCCTCCTACCCTGGCCACACACAAGTACCTCCGACCCTGGCCACACACAAGCACCTCCGACCCTTGCCACACAGAGGTACCTCCGACCCTGGCCACACAGGGGTACTTCCGATCCTGGCCACACACAGTCACTTGCATCCCTGGCCACACAGCCTCCTCCGACCCTGGCTACACACAAGCACCTCCGGCCCTTCCCACACAGAGGCACCTCTGACCCTGGCCACACAGGAACACCTCCGACCCTAGCCACACAGAGGCACCTCCGGCCCTGGCCACACACACAAGCACCTACGACCCAGGCCACACACATATCCCCGACCCTGGCCTCACACAGGCACCTCCGACCCTGACGTCACACAGGCACCTCCCACCCTGGCCACACAGATGTACTTCCGACCCTGGCCACATACAGCCACCTCCGACCTTATTCTCATACAAACACCTCCGTCCTTGGCCACACATTGCCACTTCCGACCCTGGCCGCACACAGTCATATCCGACCCTGGCCACACACAGGCACCTCCGACCCTGGCCGCACGCAGTCACCTCCGACCCTGGCCTCACACAGCCTCCACCGACCCTGGCCACACAGACATCAACACTACCAGCCTCGGCTACAAACTATAATCAACAATAGCTGTTCTTCCTAATTGTTCCCTAGGATGCTCAGTATTAATATTTATGCACTTTTCAAATTTCCTTAAAAAAAAATAAAGAAGTCATATATCAGCATTTACAAAAACATTAGAAAAGTTCCTTTATATTTTTTTTTTACATCATTCCGTGGCTTTTATCTTCGTCATAAAAAGAATTAAACGAATAAAAATAATCATAATATATGTACATTTAACTGAGTATTCTGCACAAGAAAAGGAGCTCTGAAGAATGCTGATTTCCCATTTGAAGTTGGATCTTTGTCTGAATTTGGCGAAGGATAAGTAACAAACTCTTGGTGAAGTGATTATGTCTATCTGATTTATTATCTAACATTTTATAGTCCAGCAATTACTATGAAAGGCCTTGTCATCAAGCTTAAAATTATTACGACCCCATGACACAACAGAGTCAATACACTGTTCTCCAGCCTGGAATGTCGAAGAATCGAGTCTCTTAAGCAATACAGTTAATTCACACATTTGGCAAATGTGTGTAAAGGGATTTTTGAGGAACTGAAGCCGCGCCAGCCACTTCCATGCAGCCTTCATTCAGAATTTTTATTTTAATATTAAAATAACCTCCTAATTTTACACAATGAATACGAAGGATTTGTTAGGTAATGATACAACTTACAGGTCAACACCTGCGAATGCCACAAAACCAACAATACCTTTGCTCTTTGATCTGAGAGCAAAGACCTTAATATTACATTCATGAACAAAATCCTCCTCCAACAAATTGACCAAGGTCATAACCGGAGCTGAGCACATAGGAGTCCTGATCCACTGCCTGCAACAACGGACCTATGGCACTGTTCTTCCTCCAAACAGCTGGAAGTAAACGCTCTTCTTATAAATAGCTGGAAGCAAACGTTCTTCCTCTAACTAGCAGGAGGCAAACGTTCTTCTTCCAAATTACTGGAAGCAAATGTAAATATTAATAGATGTAAGCAAACGTTCTTCTTAATAGCCGGAAACAAACGTTCTTCTTAATAGTTGAAAGCAAACGTTCTTTTTAATAGCTGAAAGTGAAGGTTCTTCTTGATAACGTTCTTCATTTAAACAGCTGGAGGTAAATGTTCTACCTTTGGGAACCTGAAAGACGACATTCTTCCTTTGTGCAACTAGAGCCAAACGTTCAGCCTCTAGGCAGTTCAGCAACTAGGCAAACGTTCTTCCGCTAAGCATATGGAAGCATAACTTCTTCCTCTGAGCAATTGGAGGACAACGTTCTTGTCACCATGTGGAGTCAAACACAGCTTCTGAGCAACTAAAGGAAGTTTTGTAACTCTGATATTTCATGAGTACGTATTTATTAAATTTCATATGAGTAACTTATTTATTTAATTTCATATGAGTAACTTACTTATTAAATCTCATATGAGTAACTTATTTATTAAATTTCATATGAGTAACTTATTTATTAAATTTCATATGAGTAACTTATTTATTAAATTTCATATGAGTAACTTATTTATTAAATTTCATATGAGTAACTTATTTATTAAATTTCATATGAGTAACTTATTTATTAAATTTCATATGAGTAACTTATTTATTAAATTTCATATGAGTAACTTATTTATTAAATTTCATATGAGTAACTTATCTATTAAATTTCATATGAGTAACTTATTTATTAAATTATTACTGTAAAAAAAATTACCGGGATGGAATCCACAAGAAATGACCCTAAGGAATTTGTTTTCTGTTTTCATCTTCGAACCATTGGTATTGAATCTGATTGCCCGACCTAATATTACTGCTGGACCAGATCACTTGAAAAATCAGAGATGACTGCCAAGGTAGTCGCCGATTACTTGAAAAATATGAGATGGCTGTCAAGGTAGTCATCAATCGTTCGTGAATTCACACAGACACATCTATCAGAATGACTAGTGAGTATCTTAATTAAACAACTTAGCAATAATTGTGATTGGAAGAGTCAATGAGAAGGCGGGGGTAGAGGTCGGCCTAGGAAAGGTTGGAGGGAGGGGGTAAAGGAGGTTTTGTGTGCGAGGGGCTTGGACTTCCAGCAGGCATGCGTGAGCGTGTTTGATAGGAGTGAATGGAGACAAATGGTTTTTAATACTAGACGTGCTGTTGGAGTGTGAGCAAAGTAACATTTATGAAGGGGTTCAGGGAAACCGGCAGGCCGGACTTGAGTCCTGGAGATGGGAAGTACAGTGCCTGCACTCTGAAGGAGGGGTGTTAATGTTGCAGTTTAAAAACTGTAGTGTAAAGCACCCTTCTGGCATGACAGTGATGGAGTGAATGATGGTGAAAGTTTTTCTTTTTCAGGCCACCCTGCCTTGGTGGGAATCGGCCAGTGTGATAATAATAACAAAAATTAATAATTTTAAATTTTTACTCCTTTCAGTTATGAAGTAGAGTATTATGTTGATGTGCTTCACACTTTCATTTTGCTTTGAATATAGTAACATCAAAAAATTATCTCTCAAATATTTCTCTCAGTTCCGCAGCAGGATCCGAAATAATTTTGCCCACTTGCGAATTGTTAAGCAATGCAACATCAATGTTCCATGCTTTTAGAGAGACATTGATGATGGCATGAGAGTGTCTCTTCAAATGTAAATCTGAATACTTAAGGATATAAATACCTGCTGCTTTAAATACCTGCTGCTTTAAATATCTGCTGCTGAGAGGTTCAATTAACTCTGTATTAAATTCTTATGTCTATTCTATAGGGAATCAAGTTCACTCGAAGATAAGATTTTGTTCGGATTGTTAACACGATGGGTCAGCCACCGAGGATAATCCAATAAAGTCAGTGTGTCATCAAGGACTGTCTGTCTTATTTCAACTGGGATCCTTTAAGCTTGCCCCCCAAGATGCGACCCACAGCAGTCGACTAACACCCTGGTACTTACTGCTAGATGAGAAGGGGCAGCAAATGTAAAGACACATGCTTAACGTTTCCACCCGTGCCATGGATCGAACCACGGACACTCAGTATGTGAGCTGAGCGAGCTATCAAGAGAACCTAACCCATGTAATCCTTCCTGCCTTTATTTATTTATTTCTCCAAGCCAAGAAAGAGATCTGCGCTTCAAAGTTCGATTCTTAAAGTTGGTACCAAATGAAAGAATAAGGAGGTAAACCATATTCAGGTAAGACTGCAAGGTGGTGTCAGTAA